ACACACACACACACACACACACACACACAAACACAAACACACATACACACACACACACACACACACACACACACACACACGTCCACAACAACATCAACAAACAAACTACGGGCTGCGCACCAGTGCCCTCACGGTAAGTCAATCAATTTGTGCAACTTTTGTGCCCCAGAATAGGCTTAAGGACTTCTGGCCAAATCGGACTTTCAGTTCTCAAATCTTGCCAGAGAGGGCATGGAAGAAGTTTCGGCTATCCGGACCCTGGCCTTGCAAGTCAACATATCGGTACACAGAGGTGAGAAAACCAGTCGCTGTGACCAAGAAGCGAAACGGAAGAACGGACAAATGCGGAAGGGGGCGTGGGGATGTGGGCCAGAGGGCGGTGATCTCAACCAACCGAGAAGTGGTGGGGTGGGGTGCGGAGATCCGACGGAAAGAAGCGCGGTAGGCAGGCTGACAAGGAACAGAGGACTGTAAGGACCGCGACTGTTTGGGAGGGGTTTTCGCCTAGAATAATCCCTAGGTGTGGTGTGGAGATCAGACGGGAAGGAGGGGTTTACACAGGCTGACAAGGACCAGCGGAGGGTGGACGGACAGCAACCTTTTGGGGAGGGTTCTCACCGAGAATAATCCCTGCGCAGCCCCTGTACGGAAAGACGGGGGATGGAGGGATGGAGTGAGGAGGGGATTTTCAAAATCCTCTCGGCCGGCAAGTGCAGGAAATTGGCAGGCTGGAGGGGATTGCATGACGGGCAGTAGTGGCAGGGAGGCAGGGGACGAAGGCGAAGGTGAAACTCTGGAGAGAGTGCACTCATCATCAACACGGTGAGTTAAGATCGGATGTGGCAAGGACCAGAGGTGATGACGGTGGTTGTGGAGAGAGAGAGAGGGTTTCTTTTGCCGACTCGTTTTCCTGTTGTCGGACAAGGTCTGTTTGCCTGCCTTCTCGGAAGGTGTACACTGCGCCTGCTGGTTCAGGTGCCCGCTTCTATTCTGCCTTTTTCTCTGTGATTGAAGTGTTCCCTTCGACCAGCCTCGGGGTTTGGCTCGGCGCAGCTGTGGTCAGACCTTCGTTTGCTTGTCTGAACGAAAAGCTTGCTGAAGAGGGAGGAAAGGAAGATTAAACTTTCGAGGGAGAAGGTGAGTGCAAGTGGATGACGTATGAGTGAACGTTATGGTGGATAAGTGGGCAGCACATCTCGTTTGCTCGTTTGCTGTCCCTCAAGGCGCGGAAATGCCGTTATCATTGCCGCGTCGGTGCTCTCGCGTTTTCGGGAGCAGCCGTCCATCTAGGGCTTCGAAAGGAGGAGTTTGATTCTGCGGCGGTGGGTGGCGGAGAGATCTCTAATTAGAGAGAAGACGAGGCTGGTCGGTTGGGAGGTCCAATCACGTTTGTTGCCTCCTCCCTCCCTTCTTCCTTTCTGTTCTGTGTGGCCCTTTTCTCATCAGTCACCAGCCTCGCCGTCGACGACTGACAAAACCTGGTGGGTGGTAGTCGCAGTTCCGAGTCTGGTTGGGATATAGAGCCTCAGAGCCTGCTGTTGGCATATTCGTCAATCCCTTTGTTCCCGTGCTCTCCCTCTTCCTCGCGTTCGGTCTACTTCTCTATTTAGCTCCGACCCCTGGCGTGCCTGTTTTTCATGTGCCGAGCATAATCGTTCCTCCCCGTCATGATTTCTCTTCGTGTCTGCGCCAACTTTCGTGGGAGCATTGGGATGTGCTCTTAATCTCTTTGAGTCGGATCTCTCGACCCAGTCACGCGAGGCGTAAAAGAACCGATTGCCTCTCATCACCCGTCCTCCGACGTGCTATCTAGTCCATCCACATCAATTCATCTCACTAATCACTGCATTATTCCAATTATTCGTAGAGCCATTCAGCTGGAGAGTCACTCGTCGATTTGCTCCTGCCCATACACGTCCATACAGAGGCAGACAAGGTGTGGGTGGGTGATCGTTGGCGGGGGGACCTCAGAGCAGCGCACCACTTGGGTGGGCGGTACTCAGGGCTGCATCGGCGGCAGATACTGCGTCCTGATACCGGTAGTCCGCCGCTGACGGGGAAGGAGGGGGAAAGAGACGGAGGAGGCGTCGAGAGGGAGGAGGCAGAGAGCGGAAGGAGGAAGGGGGGGGGTTTAGGGGGGGGTGAAAGAGAGAAGAGGGGAGGGGTTGGAAAGGAGGCTGTTGATGGGATCATGTTGGTTGAGTTGCCCTGAAATGAGCGGGCGGAGGAGCGCTTGTTTTATCATTAGGCGCGCAGTGTTGTCCAGCTCACCCCGCCATCTCTGCGCCGTGGGCTGTCCCTCCGTCGGCGGAGTACTTTCTCCTGCCGTGTGCATGGGTAAAGAATGCCGGAGCTGCGCAGCGGCCTGCGGCAGAAGAGACAAGCAGCTGAAAAGGCACTAGCCAGAGGCTTTGGGGAAGGAGCACTTAATCGCGCGGCTCCACTGTCCCCAGCAGCGGAGGCGCCAACGCGGCGTGGCGCTGTAGGGAGGCGAGCGAGACCAGGGGCTGGGGCCAAAGGGGGACAACAGCAGCAGCAGCAGCAGCAGCAGCCGCCATTTGTCCCTTTCCCGGCGACTCCATCGCCAGTCCCACCGGCAGTACCCCCGGGCGTAAACCGACCCAGAACAAGGGCGGCGAAGGCGAAGGAAACAGCCGCCGCCGCTGTCGACAAGGCGGGCCTTCCTCCTTTTCCTCCTCCGCCCCTCGCAGCTGCTCCTCCCCCTGCTCCATCTCCTTCTCCCGCCGCTCCTGCTCCGCGCACTACTGCCGCTGCCGCTGCCGCGCGGAAGAATCGAGGAGGTGCTGCCGCCAGGCAGGCAGCGAAGACCCATCACCAGCAACCGCCACAGCCCCAGCCTCCTCCTGTTCATCCGCCGCCGCCAGCGAAGCCAGCCCCCCCGGCTAGGCAGGGGAAGAATCCCGCCGCCGCAGCCGCCGCCCTTGCTCCAAGAGGGCGACCTCAACGCAACAAGCCGCCGGCTTCTCAACCCAAAGTCGAGTCTTTGTCCGAACCCCAAGAAAGCTCCGGAGGCCCGTCGGAAGACGACCAAGGTGAGGACGATTATATACCTACAGAAGAGGATTTGGACGAAGATCAAGATCGGCTGGAGGCACCGATAGACGATCCAGAGGACGAACACATAGAGGAAGAGATGGAAGAAGAGAGCGAGAAGAAGAGTGCAGAGAAAGTTGCTGGAGGTGACGATGACGTCAACACCGCGCCCCTTCCAGAAAGGGTAAGAACCAATCAGTGCCCCCGCGCCCAGGCGCTTCCTTTTTTTTCGATACCCCGCTTCTCCACGAATTACTTCACCCCTTCTCTCTCTCTGTACGTTTCTCCTCCCGTCTCTCCCTTATTTTTTCCACTGGTTAAAGTATTTCGTGGCTCTCTCTGGGGATTGCTTGCCTTTACATACAAGTGGGGGTATGTATGGTTTCCTCTTGTGCTTCCTTTTTGGAGGATTTGGGCTTATTATTGTTTGCCCGGCTCTGTCTTTTCCCCTGCAGCCGTTGATAACCCCTACCGGCTTTCGCCCGATTGCACTCCCCCCATGAACTCTCGCCGACCAGGTTTTCTTGTTAGCCTGTGTCCTTCTCTGCCTTAACTCGGGTCTTCCTCACTATGGTCTCCTACGTCGTTCTTTCAAGGTCATAAGCCGCCTCTACTAGCTCTGTCTCTGTGTCTACACACACTGCTGGATCCCTTTTCTGTATCGCCGTCGCGTATGATTATCAGCCAATGCCCGTTGTTGGTCGTTTTACGCTCTTCCACCTTCGATTTACTCCTTTACTACCTACCGTCTCTTCTTCTACCCTGGCCATATGTCATCCCTCTTCCCATCGTACTCTTTATCATCTTATTGCTCGACCTTGCCCTTCTACTGGCAGAAGGTGGTTGCCTGTTCTCCCACTCTTCTGCTGCCTTCTCTCTCATCGCAGCTGTCTTTGCCTTGCCCTTTCGCATCCTCTCAACGACTTCGTTTGCTTGCCTTCAGGTGCTCTTGGTTTGTCCGTTTCTCTTGCTGAATTACTTTCGGCCCCTTTGTTCGTTACTCTGTTGCCTCTCCCTTTCTTCTGCCTCTCTCCTCCCTTTTCGTCTCTCTCTCTCTTTCTTCTGCCTCTCTCCTCCCTTTTCGTCTCTCCCTTTCTTCTGCCTCTCTCCTCCCTTTTCGTCTCTCTTTCTTCGCCTCTCTCCTCCCTTTCGCATCCACCGTCGTCTAGCTTTGTTCGTTAGTCTGTTGCCTCTCCCTTTGTTCTGCCTCTCTCCTCCCTTTTTGTTTCTCTCTCTCTGTGTTTGCCTCCCGTTTACTTCCAGTTATCCTCGGTTTGGCGCGCTTCTCCCTCCCCTGCTTTCTTTGCTTCGGCCTTTTGGGACTTTGTGTCTCCATCAGCCTGCTGGCCTTGCATTTCTCCTTTGCTACTTGGTAACCGAACATAAGACTTTCCTTGTGGCGTTGCTTAAACTCTGCTCTGGCCCTGTTTCCTCCTCTTATTCTTCTTTCCACTGTCCTCGCGTTTCTTCTCTTCCTGTCCTCCCTCTTCTTTCTTTTTTTTTTTTTTTTTTTCCCCGCCCTCCGTCCTCTTTTTCTCCCTCTGTATCCTCGTCGTTATGCCTCTCCCCCCTTGATCATCATTCTCTGTGTTCTCCGGAATTGTCTTTTCTTACCCACTCCCTCGCCCCCTTTTCTCTCCTTGTGTTGCGTATTTCTCTCGTCTCCCTCCCTCCCTTTTCTCTCTTTTCCTTCCCTTCTTCTTTCCATCTTCCTACGCTCTCCATCCCGACCCTGCTCTTCAGTCCTCACCTTTCCCGACCGCATCCCTCTCCTCTATCCGCTTCCGTTGCTCCGCTCTGCGTGCCTGTGCTCTCCTCACTCGCTTCCTCTCCTCGGTCCCTCGCTCATCTCTCTTCCCCATTTCTTTCGTCCATCTTGCCGCCCTTGCACGCTTCCCCTTCTTCGCCTCTCGTTTTTGCCACGTTCTTCGCTCTTCCGTCTCTTACGTCTTGCCCGTGCTCATCTTTGCTCCTGCACTCTGGCCGTCCTGATCTTACCCCTCGTGCTGATCTTCCTCCCTCCATTTTGCTCTTCTATTCATCGTCTTTCATCATCCGTCTTCATGTTTCTTAACCTTCCTTCCTTCATACTTCCCCTCCGGTCCTCCCTTTGTCAATGCCCCCGCCTCGTCCGTGCTCCCGCCTCGTCGGTGGTGCCCCCTTCTAGTCGGTTTGCCGGCCTTCTCGGGGCTTACGCCTCGTCGGGTGCTTTCGCCTCGTCCGTGCTGCCGCCTCGTCAGTGCCCCCCCTTGTCCGTGCTCCCACCTCGTCCGCGCTCCCCTGGTCCTTGCTCCGCTCTTGTCAGTGCTCCTGCACACGCTTCCGTGCTCTCTCACATCTGTGTTTCCCCCCCGTCGTCCATGTTCCCCCCTCGCCCGTGTTCCCCCCTCGGCCGTGCCCCTCGCTCGCCTGTCGTTCCCCTCGCCCGCGACCCTGTCTCGCCCGTGTTCCCCATCATGTCTTACCCTCGTCCTTCTCCCTTCTCCTCCCCTCCGTCTTCTTCCCCTCCGGGTTTCCACTGTCTTCTACCTCTTCTTCGTCTTCCCCTCTCTCCGTCTTCTCTCCTCGTCTTCTCATCTCCCGTCTTCTGGCCTCCTTCCTCGTCCATCTTCCCCCTATTTCGGCTTGGCTTGCTGCCCCCATCTCCATCTGTTTACCCCGTGTCCATTTCCCTCCCGTCTCCATGTCCCCTGCCGCCATTTCCGAACCCCACCCGTCTTCATTTTCTCACTTCTCCATCTGCACCCTCGCCCCCATCGTCCGTCCTCCACCTCCCGCCTTCCTCCATCTTCCGCTTTTCGCCTTCTGCCCCTTTCCATCTTTGTCCTCTCCTCCCCTCCTTCCGTGCTCCCGATCCTCCGTTTTTGCCATAGTTCTCCCTAGGTCCCATCTTCCCCGGGTCCTGCATCCTCGATCGTTCCCCGCTCCTCCACCCTATGCTCCTTCTCCCTGTCCAATCTACCCCCGGTCCTCCATCATCCTCAGCTTCCTGCGGTCATCTTTCCCCAGTCCTCCATCTTTTCACGTTTCTCCCATCTTTATCCCCTCCATGGTCGCCGCCTGCGGCATGTGTTCCTCTTCCTCCTCCCCATCTTCTAGTCTCCCTCCACGTTCCAGCTTCGCTTACTACTTGGCCCCACCTCATCAATCTCGCCCCTCTGTCCATCTTCCCCTTCCGACGTGTTTCTTGCTTCTCCATTTTAACCTCTCCACTGTAGCCCCTCCATTTTCTCCATCTACCTATTCCCTCTTCCCTCCCCCCCCC